TAATATCAATATGAGCCAGTTTCCTTAATATGAACTACACGATGGCATCTTTTCCCTTAGGTAGATAGCCCTCGCGTGATCTGAGTAACGGAAATAATCCAGTCCAATCTTAAATTGGGACCGAGATCGCAATAAATTGTTTAAAAGGAAAAGAAAAATATTTAAATCTACCTTAAGGGGAAAGATGTCTTCATGGAGGATTTTCTAAAGGATACATACTCGAATTCACGTTACATAAGAGGAAAACCACGAGAACTAACCATGCAGCTAGCCTGTTCGCCTAGGATGGAACCTGGGTTGAACTCCTAGTATTCAGTTGTCTTAATCACTCGGCCACTAGCGGGCTATTTCTGTCATTAGTGCTGAGAAGAAAGTTTCTTCATTGGATCGAGCAAAGCGTTGTAAGTTCCATGATAACCACCTCTTCCACAGGAAGGTGGAAAGTTGAGTTGCATTCAGCCAATGTAATTCGAATATGCCCTATACTGCATTGTACTCTTTTAGAAGCAGTGGACGATAAATAAGTATAATGCAAAAATCTCTCAATGATGAAATAAAAATCTTCAGTAATTGTCTGATCGAACAATGATATTATATATTCTAGAAACATGAGTTATTAACTATACTGATGGTACAATCCTTAATATTATGAAACAAAGTGTATATTGTTTTTAAATATGCGATAAGCAATGTACTGTATTGATTTGGGAAATAAATTACAAATTTTAATCCACCTAGAATGGGAGTAGTTCTCAGAGTTGGCAATATGCCAGACCATGTGTCGATCAAACGAATGGAAGAAAACTTCGTAGGTTAGCTTACCATAACATAACTGCGTGAAAACCTGAAAGAGCATCCTAGACATGGGAATCCTGCGGCTTTGTAAAGCCATTAATAGCGGCCGCTTAAAAGAATCCAATTTTCCGACTGAAATGAAATTACGTGAACCATATAATAAAATTGATTTGTGTCTCTACTGACCTTGGGATTATTGAATTCAATCTCACTTCAAATTTCCCCCTTTTTTTTTTTAATTATTTAGTACAAGGTAATAGATGCTAAATAACACACTAAATAATGAATAATAATGTGAGATGAATTTATATTAAGGTAGAACGTAAGACGGAGAAGGTCACAGGACGTGTTTTGAAAGAATCTCTTCCTTTTCAGTTAACATTAATGGGATAACAGCGCGAGCTGTTACTTCTAAACGTAAAGCATTAAAATAAATTTTTAGAAATAAAGCGATATATGATTTGGGTAAACGCAGTCACTTATTGATTATTGACTAATACAGCATTAGAGTTCCGTGATTGGACGTATGGCGAAGAATTAGGTCATGTGACTGTCATCGGCTTAAACCCATTCTTATTCTAGTTTCAATAGAAAAGACTTGTAAGGCTTTCTTGCGAGAGCTGGCAACCCAGCAGTGTAAGGAAAGCTGCACTTGCGGCACATTTCTTTTAGTTCTGAGACGGTATTTTATTCTTGCGCATCCGCAGGGATGTTCTTGGTTTAATTAATTTTCTTATATGCTCGGAACTAAAACTTCTGAAAATAGCAGTAGTGAGGAAATGCGTTTAAAATCAAGCACCTTCGAAAAGTAAAATATATAAATTCGTGAATGTTCTTCCAGACTACAGACATTGCACTTTGCTACTAAGGCTTAGGTGTCGATACGTCCAAATTTCTTCTCGCTCAATGTTTCTTTTCATTTTACATCCGCAGAGAAATGTCTGCTTCGAAAGTTTTCACTCTCTCCTCTGCGTGAATACGAGCCAATTTCCTTAAAAAGGTCCTTCACGAAAGCATGTCTTTCCCTAGGCAGATAGTCCTCGTTTGCTTTGCCCATATTCAAATAATCTTCAATCTTCTGTAACATTTAATTTTATTCAGTCTTATTACTATTAAGCACTGAAGTTCAGATGGCCAAAAAGAGAATGTATGTTAGGAATTAAAAAACAATTCTGTAGAAACAAGAAGTAAGAAAGCGCAAATTTACGTAAATGAGGAGATTCTTTAATTTTTAGATTATCTTATGGCGTTCCCAGATTTTCAGCTTGTTCTTAATACTTGCAAACTGACAAAAGTGTTCACTTTCCGAAAACTATATTTGAAAAAGAGGATGAAATATTTTTTCTCGTTTTCTTTAGTGGTTTTTCAATTTGTGATCTATTGTAACAAGGAAGAAGAATTTAGGTAATGACAAATAATGCGGAAATGTAACTTTTGCACTGAGCCTTTAAAAAGAAAGATTTAAAGGACTCGGATTCATCCAATTGAAAAGTGAGTATACAATCCGAGTAACTGATTAAATGCATGTTAGTCTCAGTGGGAACATTTGGATCGGTGATGTTAAGATTATCTGAATACGGTAAAGGAAATGACGGCTATCCGGTTAAGAGGAGGAATGTCTTCGTGGAGGAGTTCCAAAGTTAAACTAGCTCATATCCACGGTACACATAAGGAAACAGAAGAAAATATCCATTCAGCTAGCCCGTTCGCTGGGGTTCGAACTCGGATCGAATTAACAGTGTTCAATGGTTTTAACAACTCGGCTATTGATTAGCGACATTCGCATTGAATAAAACCTAACTAGAACTGAGTTTAAATATCACGAATGAATAAATAATAATCAAATACAAAGCCCAACATTAAGAATCAGCGTAAATTAAAAAAAAGATTTTTTTTTTCAGTACTAGTTTCCATAGTTTTTGAAATACCTTCTTCGGTTACTAAGTGCAAATGAACCAAATAAAGGCTGAAGAAAGATAAGATAAGGATAGAGATAAGATAAGAAAATTTATACAGATGTTAAGCTACCGGCGCCATCTATTGATAACACAAGAAAAACTAAAGCAAAATTTCTTTAAAGGCTGAAGGTAAAGATGGATTGCAATTGGGGTCACTAACTAGAATAGAAATGTGTTTATTTCGAACAGAGTTGAGTAAGTGAAATTAGTTCATCAATTTCAATGCAGGAGAAATATAATTCACGAAGTCTAGTTCTTAGACATCTTAATGCACCTTCCGCTGGAACATTTGTAAATAATTTTAATAATGTTTAGCTAACAGATACGAAGCAGTACCTAAATTTGATACAATAGGGCGGAAAAGAATACAACTTTTATGAATTTTGGGAAGAGCATATAATCTGGCACAGTTCGCAACAGATGGGATAAGCGACCGTTTTAAGTGGGTCGGAAGGATTTGTGAAGATTTGATTGCAGTTTTTGAGTCAAAAATTAAAACTGCTATTAAATCTTCATTAAGCTAAACATTTAGTTTCTAGATTTTGAACTTTATTGGATAATAACATTTACACCATAAAAAATTTAATAGACTTTGTAAAAAAAGTTAAAAGTATTTCTCAGCAAAATTTCCTCATGGTTTCTTTTCATGTTAAATCATTATTTACCAATGTTCCAGCGGAAGGTGCATTAAGATGTCTAAAAACTAGACTTCGTGAAATTCATTTCTCCTGCATCGAAATTGATGAACTAATTTCACTTACTCAACTCTGTTTGAAACAAACACATTTTGTTTTCCAAAATAAGTATTATAAGCAAACTGAGGGGTTAGCCATGGGAAGCACTCTTAGTCCAATCCTTGCTGATATCTACATGCATTATTTTGAATCAAAATTATTTGAAACTTTAAACTTCCCAGTTTGGTTTCGCTACGTAGAAGATACATTTACCGTGTTTGATAATACTGAAAATGATTTAAATAATGTTCTTTCAATTGTGAATTCCATTGATCCTGTTATTTAGTTCACTTTTGAACTTGAGACATCCAATTCTCTTCCGTTCCTCGACATTTTGGTCACACGTAACATATCTGACTTCAGTACTACTGTTTATTGTAAACCTTCATCGGTCTGCCTTCCACCACACTTCAAATCATGTCATCTGACGAAACAGAAGTTAGCTTCATTTTATTTCTTTGTTTTCCGTGCACTTCAAGTTTGCTCCTCCAAATCAGCTCTTGATCAAGAACTAAATTATTTAAAAGCAGTTGCTATTGACAGGGGCTTTTCATCCAACATTATTAACCGTGCAGTTAAAAAATTCTCATCGGAAAACATCAAAAGGTACAATCCTATTTTAGATGATTATAGGAATTCTGTTGTCATTCCTTTCTTTCCGTCAATTAGCTATAAAATTGAACGTATTTTGCAGAAATTTAACTTTCGGGTTGTTTTCTCTCCTATCAATAAAATTCCTAGTTCCATGCTTAAGGACTCCATTCCGAATATGAATTCCTGGGGTATTTACAGGATTCCTTGCCAATGTAGTTTAATTTACATTGGTCAAACATAAACAGCATTAAAATTTTTGTTAAAAAACATAAGGCATATGTTAGAAAAAGGAAGCCCAGAAATCCGCTGTTGCTCAGCATTGTTGGAAAGAAAATCACACTTTCTATTTTTCTGCAGCCAAAATTATTGAAAAGACATCCTCCATTGGTGAATTAGATTTTTTAGAAGCGTTTCACATCCAAAAAACACTTCTGTTCTAGTTAATTATCCCAATTGCAATCTATCTTTACCTTCAAATTTTAAAGAAATTTTGTTTTAGTTTTTCTTGTGTTATCAATAGATGGCGCCGGTAGCTTAACTTGTGTCCAACTTTTCTTATCTTATCTCTATCCTTAACTTATCTTTCTTCACACTTTATTTGGTTCATTTACACTTAGCAGCTGAAGAAGGTAGTTCAAAAACTATCTAAACTAGTACTGCAAAAAATTTTAAAAGATTACGCTGATTCTCAATGTTGGACTTTGTTTTGAAAAACCTAACTAAAGTTTATTGGCACACAATCTATCAATTATACGATGATGCGATATTTGACGAAGTCACATAATTACATAAATATTCATTTATGTAATTATAATTGATGTAACAGCTATTTCAAAATAAAGAGAAAAAGACTTGGATAAAGTAAGCATCATACTTAAATTGTAGAATCTGTCCACAATGAAGAAAATTTGAATCTTACCTTGGGAATTGGGCTCGGGTAGATTTTCTCTTGGGACTAAATGCATGACAGTTGTTTTGCCCAGTGGCAACTGCAAAGCTAAAAATACAGAGAAACATTTTTAGTTTTGTAGGATTAATCAAGTTAAAAGTCGAATGTGAAGAAATTAACCAGAAATATTATAAAAATTAAAATATAATATTTTACCAAAAATTCACTTCATTGGAAATCAAAACTGATTCGAATGCCGTAAGCCTATCATCTAAAAGTATGAAATCGAAAATACCGATTCGATAGTCATATGCGGAAAGAACAAAAATTCTGATAGATTCATTTGAAAATATATTACTAATCCTGGTCATAAAATGAAATAACAAGCAAGTGGTTTGTTTTCTTGTTTATTTGAATAAATCAAAGGGTACTAGTGCTATCTGCCTAAGGTGAGGGATTGTGGAGAGTTTTCTACGAGAAATTAGATCGTATTTACAAAACATAACAAATTCGTGAAATACAGAGTTAAAGAGCATACGGAAAATTATATAAAAGTAGAGCATAATCTTAAAATACAATTACGAAAATTGATTGACTCAAATACATTTATAAAGTCCAAGCATTGCACTAAATAATACATATTCGAATATAAAAATATAGAAATCCTTTCGTATTAGAAGTTATATATTTGCTCTTCTTCGAAAATTTAATATTTACATACTCGCTGTGTAATTTTTGCGTTTAAAAAATGATGAAGTGATGTCTGAACCGTCTCTTTCATTTCCCAAAATTTCTAAGATTCTTCTTCGCTTATACCTAATCTTAAAACATAATTCAGTTCCGTAAAATTATTAATTATTTAATCTTAGTCATGTACAAATGGCTACACTGTTTTTTTTTTTTTTTTTTTTTCCCTCACACTAATCGTTTTGCATTAACATACTGACATGCCAAGGTTTATTTTTACTTCGTCCTCATAAATACAAAAGCTGGCCATCATTGGTTTAGATGATGGAAGTAGCTTTATAGTTACTTTACTTTTAAAAATATTAGTATCATAAACAGCTAAATCAAGCTAAGTCAGCCATACTACTTCCACATACCTTATATACAAAAATTCACTAAAAAGTTGCAAAATTATAATAAAATCCTATATTCTTCGTCTTAGGCAGTGATTTTCTGCGCTAAGAAGGACTAAATTGGAAATCGCCAGCTGAAGTTACTAGAACATGGTCTGATTTCGACAGTGGCGTAGCTAGGGTGGGACAAGGGGGGACATCTGTGGCTGGGCGCAGCATTCAGGGAGCGCCAAATTGATGTTACGAAATTTTAGAATGAAATGTTTTCCGTTCTTGGCACAGAGAAAGGGGCACAAAATCTTCAGTCGTCTCCTGGCGCTGAAAACCCTAGCTACGCTTCTGGATTTCGAGCAGAGGACAAAAAGTGGGTACAAAATAATCGGGACCAATCTGAAAGAGAAGACGGCTGGTAAAGAATTATACGAGCACAAATATGTGTTTAATATTTATTTTGGAGTTTTTTTTTTTTTTTTTTTAAGGGAATGATTCTGTTTTGACTGAGGAATACTTTTTGTTATTAAACATATCAAGATTACAGTGAGTTTGGCCACTTAAATGAAGATTCTACTTCAGTAAAGGCCATTTCTTTTACCCATACGTGCTAAAAGGATTTTCTATCTCACCTTTTTCTACTTATTTTACGAAAAGTCAGCCTTGGTGACTATCTTTTATACTTAACACTTAATTATTCCATCACTTTCACTTCAGCAACAGATTGTTTTCTTTTCTTGCGTATCATTCATCCACTTAAAGTTAACTTAATATGAATTTCAAAAGTAAACTGAACATCAAGTAGTTCTCTCATCTAGAATTAATTTTTACTCGATGTGTACTAAAAAATTGCAGGATCAACTTAAGATCCGTTCTGAAATTTCTGAATAATAAAGAATATTAAATCATTTTATATCATATGCTTTGCTTTTAAAATCATTTTTAATAACTATTCTTGCTCATTAACTTTTTTTTAATAGTAACTTGTAACTTTTGCTTCATGTAGGCACGAAGCATTGTCAAGAGAAGATTAAACACACTACATTATGAAAACACTTGTACTAATTTACTTATTTTCTTAGTTCTTTGAGATTATTTTTCAAGCGTCCATTTTCTCATAGTTCTGTATTTTTCTTTAATGCAAAAGAATTTTAAAGCACTTGGCTTCGAACAAAAACAAATTATTAACTAACGGAGCTTGCTCTATGAAAGGAAGAACACGAAAAAAAAGGGGGGGGGAAAGCGCCACACTTTTCGCAAAATTCCCTATCTGCTGTAATATATTCGAAAATATTTCTAGAAGACTGAGATAATACAGTTGCGCACACATATATATTTCTGAGGATATACTCATCTTCCTTTTTCGGAAATGCAGTCATCGCAAAAATTAGGATTTACGGAAAATGTATTAATAGATAATGACAACCACACTTGGAAAGAACATTATTTGCACAACCAAGAAATTAAACATTACTTTCTTGCGTAATATTTACATAATTATAATAATTTAATTGAAAGCTATTTTTTCATGTATTTGAAGTGATCATCCAAATACCAATATCCTATTGTATAAAATCACAATATTTCCTTTTTTATGACGTGAAACTAAGCGTCTAGGAATATACAGAAACACTTTTCCTGTTTACTTACAAAATTTTTGCTTTGTTTAGTATTCACAATGGCTCTTGGATTTAGCATTAAACAACATCCTTCATTTTATTCCTCAGTTTTAAAGAATGAAGCTTTCTACTACAGTCAGATTTTATTTATAATCATACTTAATAACTCTTTTGATCTAATTTAATTAAATACGGCAAAGCACACGTTGGCTATCTGTCAAAGGCAAAGGACGCCTTCGTACAGAAATTTCTAAGAAAAACTTACATTTACGTTACATATGGGGCAAACCCCGAAAATACTAATGCAGCCGGTTCGTTTGCCAGGCTTCGAGTCAAGGTGGAATAACCACTGTTCAGTGGTCTTATCCTCTAAAATCAGATACCGATCTGATAGAAAGGGCAATAACACACTGTGTTAAAAAAATAAAAAACTGCATTTTATTCTTCGTTTAGTGGTATTGTTCCGGTTTGACTAGAAACTTTGACTATGCCGATGTTCCGGTTTGATTAGAAACAAACTTTTCTCTGCCTCAGAATGGCAACAGTGAGAACTTGACTTTAGATTTGTTATGACGCAGCTAGAACGCTGCTCCTGAGATGTAACATTAGATTCGATTCTAGATTCTAGATTACATTAATTTTAGTATTTTAATAAATCCTTTTAAAACTAGATTGAGTATTTGATCATAGAATTATAGCTGAACCACCGCTTGCAGAAATTTAGATGTGGCATTTAGATACGTCGTTAGATAGTTAGATGCGTAAGCAGCGACATTCGTGATTCGAATAGTGTACATTAGTGCGTACATAAACATTTTTTGGTGCTACCTGCCGGGAAGCCGGCCAATATTCGACAATATGGATTCGTAAGTATGGATTTCACGGTGTGAAGTGTGCGAAGCCTGCAAAAGGTAGGATAAGTTTTCTATTTTAAAGTAATTATGGAAGATCCTGTCGCTAAGCTTAAATTGAAACGCAAAGTATTAAGGACCGCAGTGTCCAAGGTACTAAAGAAAATTGAGACAGAATTAAGCAAAGATGACGTTAGTATAAATGTAATAGAAGAAACTTTAGACATATTAAACGAAAAGGCAAAACTCTGAGTGATTTAAACACTCAAATACTTATAGAACAGGATTTAAAGGCCCCAGAGGATGAATTTGAACTTGAAGTTTCATCCGCTCTAGAATATGAAGAAAAAATCCAACTGTGGCAATTTAGAGCAAGAAAAAAATTGAGGGAATTACACAAACTCGAAAATTTGGATCCTAATGAAACCGCTATAGATTCCAAACTTGAAAATGATAAAATTATTCGCCTTCCAAAATTGACTATGTCTAAATTTTTTGGTGATTCTAGCAATTGGCAGGAGTTTTGGAGTCAATTCGAGGCAGCTATCCATAACAATGACTCATTATCGAAAGTAAATAAGTTCAGTTACTTAAAGTCATTACTAGGTGGGGTAGCTTATAACTGTTAAATCATTCCCCTGTTAGAAATGTAAGGGATATAGAAAATCTTAGGAATTTATATGATCAGTGTGAAACTCAAATTAGATGCTTAAAGTCAATGAACGTGGTATCAGAAACTTCGGTGGTTTACTTTGCCCAATATTGCTAAAATTAATTCCATCAGAGATAACATTAGAATACAGTCGCAGTAGAAACAGTGACCAAACATGGAACGTTAAGGAATTAATGGAATTTATTCGTAAAGAAATAGAAAGCCGCGAAAGAGCTACGCAGTTAAATGAGAGTAGAGAAACAAAAACAAAACACCGAGCGGAAATGATTCATAACTGGAGGCATAAATCAAACGATCGTCTCCACTCCGCTCACGATAATGAAACGTATGAATATGTTGCTCCAGTCGCTAGCAGTAAATGCATATATTGTGACGAACTACACGATTCGGAGCGCTGCGAAATTAAAACCGTGGAGGAGAAAAGAAATATTTTAAAATCTCAAGCCCGATGTTTTTTGTGCCTAAAATCTCAGCATAAAATTAAGCAGTGTAAGGAAAGAAAAATGTGCGAAATATGTAATAAAAAACACAATAGGTCTATTTGTTTACCAAATCAACTTCGAAACCAAATCGGAGAAAAAACAAGGTCGTGTCGACAATTCCATCCGGTAAAGAAGATGTTCAGATTAGTCAATTAAAAACCGAAACTTTCCGCAGCGCATTGCTACAAACGTGTACTGTGATGATACGTCCATTTTCTGAGAAGGATAATTTAGAACCAGTTCGTATTCTATTAGACAATGGATCAATGAGAAGTTTTATAATTCGGGACATTTCAGAAAAGTGTAAATTACCTGTTATTCGAAAGGAGACTTTGTCCGTATTTGCCTTTGGGGTTAACCAGGCAACAGGACAAACTTACAATGTTGTTAAAGTCAAACTAGAAAACAGAAGT